AAGAGCCAATTGATACTGAAGGAGGAAGTCCAAGGTGCATTGAAGGAATTGGCAAAGAACAAGGCACCAGGAATTGATGGAATAAGAATTGAAATGCTTGAAGAAAGTGAGGCAACACTGGAGGCACTCACTCATCTATGACAAGAAATTTGGAAGACAACTATCTAGAGCAACTGATTGGAAGAACAACAAAGCAGACCTATTTTAAATAGATAAATGCAATGAAATATTTTTATACTATTGGTAATGCAGGAAAAACAATTCTGGTGTTCTAGATAAACAATAATGCATTTTTATCTATGTTCCTTGGCTATAATATGATACTGATTCATTATAATTCAAGCTAAGTTATAATAGAAATCTTCATTTTTATTATATTATTGAAGGGGAGAAAAACAAAACTGGAATCATTCAACTAACCTTTGCAGCTTGTGGTAATTCTCCCCAAAGCCAAAGCATTTCTGGATTATTCGTCTGCATTGTCCTGTCCACGGACTTACTGACCAATTCTGAGTCACTTTTAGGTGTTGAAGATCGGGAACCTGAAGGACTTTAAAAAAAGAAAAATGAAAATCCTTGATTAAGGTGGGAAAATGAACTTTTGAAAATAAATGTTTTTGGTTAAAATAGCATAGAAAATGCACCCAAGCATTTGTCTTCTTATCACCACATTTCTCAAAGTAGCACTTCTATGACCATCAGCAGTACACTGACATGCTCCTGATTTGGGTAACCCCACCCCAATCTGTTGCCAAATTCAAGGTACGTAGAGAAATGGGGGCGGGGAGGGAAGTAGCCTAAAAAGGAAAATTTAAAGAGAGAAAGTTATAAAAAGAGAAAGGATAGAAGTAGTTTTTACTTCAAAACCACCATCTATCCTCACCTCCTCTCAAGCTCAGCCATCCTTCATTCTCCATTTTCAAATCAAGTTTCTCAACTTCCAGGTCACTGCAGAAAGGTCTTTGGTCTTATTGGACAAATACCCATTATAGTCTGAAATATTTCTAAATCTGCACTGGCTCTGAAAAAAAAGGAACGACTATATGCCAGCTTCACCAGAAATGAACTAACTGATGGGGCAGAAACCTCAAAATTTGAGATTTTATAAGATATTATATCTTCCAGAAATACTTCAAATGACTGACCAGTTTGCTAAGACACTTTCTGTGACAACATGCCACGATGTTTACTTCTCAGGCCAACTTTAAGAAGCTGTAACATGTATTTTCACCTCAGTGTTTTCTGTATTTTTACTCTGGAGACCTCAACTTCTGTCCCGAGTAACTTATTGACGAGCTTCTCATCATATTCTAAATATATACAGAGACTAGAAAAAAAAGTATCTATTGAGTTGTTTCCTCTCTATCCTCCTTGTCTATCCTCCTCTCTATCATCATTGTCTCTTGAGCGATTAAGATAGCAGAGGTTTCAAATAAAGCAGTTTTCCTTTTGTATACTCCTTCAAAGCCCTTATATAGTCTCTTTGACTATTTATCATTGATTTGCTTGGTCTCATGTAAATATCTGAGAGTTCAACTACAATAGACCTGAATACAACTTTCCAGTCAGTTTGAGGAAAACTCACTGACGATACACATCTTGTATCAGAGAACTTCAACTAAACTGATCCTATTTTAGTCAAGTCACTTGGACCAAACAGACTAACTGCTCTCTCTTCATCATTTCAGTTAGGTATACATAAAGCTTTGCTCTTCTTCCTTAGTGCTCACTGCCCACCAATCCATCTAAAAGATGTTTATTGCTCAGTGCATATCAAGAAAGATTCTGAGCTTTCATATTATGAGTTTATATCATGAGATATCCCCACCTTGCCCAACTCAACAGGCCTGAGTAAAGTCCCCATAGCCTTCCACCTCCCTTGCCTTCTCTTAGTTTTAGAATTATGTTTTCCTTGAAATGGCCAATACCTCTCTGGTATTAAAGTGTCCACATTATATGTTCACAGCATCTATGAAACAAGAAACACAGGTGGTGCTGTGGATTAAACACTGGATGGCTCATCACAATGTTGGCAGTTCAAACCCATCAGCTGCTTCCTAGGAGAACGTTGTGGCATTCTCCTCTGCCCTATAGGGTTGCTATAAATCAGAACAACTTGATGGCAGTGGACTGATCTATGACATGTGACTAAGGAATGTTGTAGTCTTGAATGAGGGGGCCCTTGTACCTATAGCTGTGAGCTGACTCCATTCTTTATCCAGCGTCATCGCAGAGAAAGTCCATCATAACCGGCCTCCTGGTGTGGTGCATCATAGGATAAGCACTAGACCACAAGTTTGGTTTGAACTGCTAGGTTTGTGGTTCAAATCCTCCAGCCACTCCTCAGAAACCATATACAGGGTCACTATGAGTCAGAACCTACTTGATGGTACTAAATAACAACAATATCCTCAACAACACTTTAAGCCCAAATCTCAAGTTACTTGTTTGAAAAGCTATTGCCATTTTAGTTTATCACATGCAATATAATTTATATTTTGTTAAAATTATTAGAATGAAAAACTACCTTATCCACTGCCACTAAATTAAATAAAGCCCTTTAGACTGATGTTAAGTTGCTCTAGAACAGCGTTGGCAAACTTTTTCTGAAAAGGGCCAGATAGCAAAAATTTCACACTTAGTAAGTCATATGATCTCTGTCACAAAGATTCAATTATGCCATTGTAGCACAAAAGCAGCCACAGGTAATATGTAAACAAACTGTTCCAGTAAAACTTTATTTACAAATACCCTTGGGGGGCTAGACTCAGTCCAAGAGCTATAATCAACCTATCCCTAGTCTAAGAAGATAGAACAGCTGAACTAAGTTTGCTCAACTTCAGAACCCATAACCTCCTGATCCTTCCATAGGCACTACATGCCAACATGTTTCCAAAGTAACAAAATGCTGCATGAAAGCCATAAACTAAAAAATCTCACCACTTACATTACATACGCTACTATGATTGTGAGCCACAAGACTGGGAGTTCAAGTTCACCATCTAATCCTTGGAAACCCTATACAGGGTCACTATGAGGCGGGACTCTATGGCATTTAACAACAACAACTATAGTAAACTATATAAATAAAATAAACAATAATAAATGCTTACCACTTATGCCATACCAGCACCTCTCAAAAGAATTCCATATACAAATACATATGCACAATCTGAATTCAGATTGACTAAAGATGAATTGAACCCCCTAGACTAGTCACCTTTCAGGTTTGAACTCACTCACCTCCTTGGCTTAATTTTCACTCAAACAATAGGTGTATAAGGTGAAAGATAACAGTAGGGAGGTAGGCACATCTTAGAGCAATCAGCCATTCAAGATCAAAAGGGTAGTATTTGTCCAAGTACAAAATTCAGAAGGCAGGAAAAGTTAAGAAAGGAGGAAGAATGGAAATGAGAAATACAGGGCAGAAATGGAATGAGTGATTGAACATTGTACGGATTTGCAGTCAATGTCATGACCCAAAATGTATGTGAATTGTTGAATGGAAAATTATTTGCTCTATAAGCCTTTATTCAACTCACAAAAAAAGTTTTAAAATAAAGAAAGATGAATTATGGAAAAGATATCATAAACCTGAGTGTAAATTACCAGATATATGATTCCAAAATGTCCTACTACCAAATATTTGATGCTTAAAATCAAGGGGTTGTTCAAAAAACATAAGTTTCCAAAGTTATAAACTGATTTTTATAAATTGTGTATATTATTCGGCTTATAAAAATTTTCATTATTTTTTAGTTCCAATTAGACACATTAGTAATAAATGCTTACATCTTGTTTACTTCATTTTAAATTGGCAAATATAAACTCCAGATGATGAACATCCTGAAATCTTGCTCTTTAATCACAAAGAAAAGAAGTTTTCTCTGTAGAAATTAATCATAGCTTAATTTCTAAAGTTTAAAAGTAAACTTTTTAAATCTACAAAATAAGTATTTCATACATCTCAGCTAAACTGAGGGAGTGAAGGCAGAAATCTAAGACAACTGCATTAAGTAAAAACACAAATTAAAATCCAACCCATGGTATTCTCCAAAATTGTGTTCTAGAAATTCTGTGGAAAATATCTGACTCCATTATTCAAAAAGTCTAAAGAGCTATTAAAATATTTATAGTAACTTTTCTTATACTAAAGTAACATCGAAAAAATATCTTATAAATCCTAGACATGAAGCAAAAGGTCAGATTCCCAATCTATATAAGATTTTTCTAATTTTTCTAAAGTTCTCCACAGTATTAGATAGAAATATATGCTTGACCATATTTTCCAGAGGGTCACATTTAGTACTTAAAAAAAGAAAAGAATATATAAATGCTTAAATGAAAGAAATTATATAGTTTATATGTTTATTCTTCATAAGTAGTTTCGTTAGTGATAAAGTAGATTTGTAATAATTAGATCCAATTTTTTTATAATATACATATAATTTATATGAGTTTTCTTCATAAGTAATTGTGTTAATAAAACAGATTTGTAATAGTTAGATCAAAATCTTCATTATTGAATATATTTAAAATGGGGAGACAACTCCTCTACCTTTCCGAAGCATGGAAGTGGGAAGACTGTGGAGGGCATGAACTAGAAAGGCCACCCTCGGGCGCAACAGCAAGAAGAGGGAGGTTCCTTTTGCCATCTACCAGGCTACTGGATACCACATGATAACATTAAAAGAAAGAAAAACAAGTCAATTAAATTAAATGAAATTTTATATCAATGATTTGACTACTCTCAGAAGTAATTGTCAGAAATTGAAAATACTTAAGTACCCAAAAACACTGGAGGGATTATATGTTGAAATCATTATGAAATCAACATGAGTTTGCTGAACCACATAGACAGGAAACTGCAACAACAAAAAAATCTACTTCACTTAATATTTCATGCATATGCCCATAAAAGATGTTTTTTACAGGTCACATTTAGTGCTTAATCAAACTGCACATCCCAAAGATCTGGTCATTTGTTTTTTTCAATTATCCCTTTAAATAACATACATACACGCAAGTATAAATCTGTATCTATTTATCTTAATTTGTAATTCCACTTGACAGTGGTCAGGTCCACAGAATCTGACACATTCATTCAGGATTCACAAAGTAAAACAATGAAAACAGAGAAACATATTCTCAGTTGTGTTTAAAGCATTTCTTATAAATACTTAAATTAATAGATAGTCTTCAAGACATAGTTCAACTTATTAAGTGGTATCCTATATACTTGTCTTCCTTAACTATCACGTTTTCTTCTCCTTGGGGGTTTATCTCTACAACTAGTGGCAAGATGCATGAGTGAGATTCTAGAAAACTCTGTATCTACATTGTCCAAAGATACCTGCTAGCTACATGTGATTACTGAGCACTTGGAATGTGGAGAGTCCAAAGGCAGATACGTTGCACATGTAAAATACACAATAGAGTTTAAAGACATGGTATCAAAGGAAAACTGTGAAATATTTAATTAATACTTTTTAAAAAAATTAATTACTTGTTAAAATAATACTTTGAACACACTGGGTCAAATAAAATATATCACTAAAATTAGATGCAGCTGTTTCTTTTTACTTTTTAAATATGGCTAGAAAACTTCAAATTACATTACTGGACAAAGTTGGTCTTTAAGGACAGATCCCCATCCCCAGACTTGTTCACGAACACTCACTGTCACAGACTTGGCTGGAAACCAGGCATGTGACCTATCTACTTTCCTACAAAATCCACTTCAGCACATACTGCTGATGGCTGCTGTCTACTAATGAGATTACCCTCATCAAACTGGAACCAGCATTGGGGCTTTAATGAGACTGGCTTTACATATGAAGCCACTGTAACGTATAACAGAACTTCTAAGGATTCATATACTTTCATTTTAAACCAGAAGTATAAAAGAATAATCCATTTAGACCAGCATTTAGCCATATATTTTTTTTAAGTTTTCACCATCCTGCCAAATATTCTGAGATATATTTTTTCCTAATAGCCTCCCCTCCCACATGAAATGTTAATGTCACAGATATACTGTATATCTGCTTATGTACTGTAGCCCATTTTGTTGTTGTTGTTGATAAGTGCCAACTCATAGAGGGCCACAAACCATTGCAATATCTGTAAGATTTTTGCCACACAAGAACCACTTTTCACCCAACTGGTGAGAATTCTCTACCAAGAATGCATGATTTCAGTCTTTCCCATTCCCCAGTCCTCAGCTCACTTGAAAATAAAGAAAACTACTCAGAAGGGCTCAGATACATTCAATAGGTTTCACTGATGTTTTGGAATCTTTAAGATAGCAATTTGCACACTGAGCAGCCATAGTCCTCCAAGTTGATACCAGAACTCTAGGGCAACTTAAGAGCTCATTTCAGAGAAATAAATGTTCTTCACTTCAGCAGAATGAATTGAAAGTGCGGAGGAGGGCATCATTCTAAATTAGCTCAGTGGCCCCTAAAGCAATGTTTCTGTTTTTTAACATGTAAAGTCAGCCCAAGTATCCAGAAAGGCTTTGCTGGCTTGTTTTCTCCTGTGAAGTACAAAATATCATTGTTACTTTCAGGTTGCTGAAGAGCCAGGTGTGCAAAATTATTATGCTACTATACAGTAGCACAATCTGTACATGTTACTTTTCAATGCTGACCTGTACTTTCTACACTAAACTTTAGTTTTTGTAGTCCAAACTATCTACATTATTTTCATTTCCATCTTACTACATTATTGAACATGTTTCTTATAACTGACTTGAGAGTCCTCTGCACCGGATAAGGTGAGCAGACACATGCACAAGCAACTTACCTTGGGTTGGGGGACCACTCTCTATCTGAATTAGGGTAGGATGCTGACTGAGGGTAACTCATGGCTGGGGAAAGGTTTTCCTTAGTCATGTCATCTTGAAATGGAGGTATATCACTAGGAAGAGTTCTGGGGGAGGGAAAAAATGAAGTTAAAGAATTAGTAACAGATTCATAGTAAAGTTTCAGTTGTTTCTTAAGTATCTTAAATGCTTTGAAGATTAATATGATCACAGTTTAAACCACCGAGGCATACTCCAGGGACTGGAGAAAGAAAAAGTAAAATATACGAGGATGAGTCAAAAATTATCTGCATTCTGGTTCTATTAAACCTTCTTTCTGTTGACTGCACTGTCTTATCAGCGCTTTCCATTCAAGGTCACTGCTGTGCAGCTGTGATCATGGACATCTGCAAACAAACTTTGGACCAATACTCAAAGAAAGGTAAAAGTTCCTTTATAAACATCATTACTGGTAACAAGACATGGATTCACCACTATGAATCTGAACGTAAGCAGCAGAGTATGGAATGGAAATATCCTCAATTGCTGACCAAGAAAAAGCTCAAAAGTCAACAATCAGCTGGAAAATTGGTGCTTATTGTTTTCTGGGATTTCTCATGGGCCAGGATTCGAACACTATCAGGAATACTATTCACCAATAGACCGAGCTTATTACATTGAGATGCTCACTGAAGAGCTGAAGCCAAAACTTTGAATTAAAGGCAGAAGACTGCTATCCAAAGGCATTGTAATCTTGCATGACACTGCATTTCCTTACACTTCTCTGCCCACACTGTTGACACTCTGCAAAAACTTCATTTTGAGGTGTTAAAGTATCCTCCCTATACTCCTGGCCTTGCTCCATGAGACTTTCACTTGTTTGCTCCCCTGAAAACAGCCCTTCAAAGATGAAGAGTCATCTCTGATGAAGAAATGAAGAAAGCAGTGTTTTAGTGGCTCACAGCCAGCTTAAAACATTTTTTAATAAGGGAATATGAAAACTTATTGACATATGGACAAAGTATATTAAAAGCAAGGAAATTATGTTGAAAATAATGTGTTTGTCTTTTCTCAAAGTTGATTAAAATGAACTCTACAGTTAAAGCGTGGATAATTTTTGACTCACCCTTGTAGACACGAAGGTTAATGTGTGTGTATTTTGTGCTGAATTATACATCTAAATTGTTTCCATGTTTGGATTTACACATGCACATGATTATACTGCTTTGATATTTCCATTGTTGCACCTTTTAACCACCTTTCACATTTTCGACCATAAAAGCATAGACAGGGCCCACAAGTGTATCCAGGGTATTATAAGACCTTCCCATGCACAGGTTGAACTGCAGAGTAACTGAATCAATAGACACACAGATTTTACATGTCTGCATGTTTCATCTAGCAGAAGAAATAAATGGTATAAATCAAATGTTTTTTATGAATATTAAGTACTTATGAAAAAACAGGTATAAACACACTCATTACAAAATGCGATTTAACATCTCACTCATCTAGATGTCATCTGCCTGAATCTTTACCACCACCTAAGCTATCACCAAGTTCTGGAATTAAAATTCATGCAGGGGAGACAACTGTAATAACCCTAACTATCCAATTTCTTCGTTTACAATAGATTAGAAGCTGTAATTAGGAAAGGAACATTGCTAACATGCCTTCATTTTTAGTCACAAAAGAAATTATACTCTGACTAACAAAACTGGGGAAGAATATTCCTGATGTTCCTTCCACTATCCCTTCTTTAGTCTCAAAAAGCTATAAAAATTACACTGACTTACACAAAATTAAGAATATCACTCGAGTATTATTTGTGGATGATTTCCATCTTTTTAAATTATAATTTTCACCAAAATAGTAATATGTGGAAACAGAACTTCACCACACTGCTAAAAGCAAAGGAGATGGAATAAAATGCCCATGAACTGTGAGCCTAATTAATATCTAAAAGGAAAAAGTTTGCCTGTAAAAAAAAAACTAGTAATGTTCTCCCTTCATTTTTAACCTTGTTTACATACCAGCCCAATTGTCAGGTACACAGTTAGTATACAAATAAGAAGAAATCGGCTCTGAAAAAGTGGTTTACTTCATAGACTAATGATTTGCTCAGTTCCTGTATACTGATTCTACTCTGAACTCCTGAGATTGTCAGTCAAGAGGTTTGGCATTGCCAGTTGTCTCTTAGCTATAAACCACATCAAATCTTTATACTCTAAGATAAAATGCACATGATTCCCAAATTCAATCTAAACTTAGATCATGGGTTATTAGATCATGGGTTAAATATCTAGTGTCTAAAGCTCATCTTTAAGAATTAATTGAAGGGGGAGGGTAATAAACAAGCAAGAAGAGAGAGGTTGGCAGAAGAATGATGGAGACAGGTGAAGACATAGGGAGGTACTTGAGAGCTAAAGGGGATAGACAGAGGTAAATAATGTTATACTTGGAACAACAGTATTCTCTATGTAGACACATGGACAGAGACATATGCTGACTGGGTATGGGAGGAAAAGTGGAATGTGTGTACATATGTATATATTTATATATCCCAAAGATAAACAAGAGTTTGAAAGAGGATGCTGGTACATGAGTATTTACCTTTTCTGCAAACACGACTGTGAATGTGGTGGAACGTATGTATAGCGGGCAGAATGATGAAAACTTCTTAAATACTATCAAATCTCTTAAGACAATGAGTAGCTGAGCCTGGAGGCTCAGGACCATAGTCTCAGGGGACACCACCATCAATTGGCACAACATAGTCCACAAAGATAATATTCTGCATCTTACTTTGGTAAGTAGCGTCTGAAATATTAAAAGCTCCGAAGCAGTCCTCTAAGGAGCAGCTATTGATCTCTCCATGTATGGAACAATTAAGAATGATGAAAACTGAAGATACTTGGAATCAATTAGTCCAAGGGACTAACGGAACATGTGAACATCAGTCTCCATGACTTTGAGACCGGAACAACTAGATGGTGCCCAGCTACCACTACCAACTTCTCTGAAAGGGATCACATTAGAAGGTCCCAGATGGAGGGGCAGAATGTGTGGAACAAAACTCAAAATTATTATTTTTTTTAAAAAGAGAGACCATGCTTATTGGTTAGAAAGAGACTGGAGGAACCTGAGACTATGGCCCTCAATCACCCTTCAGGTCTGGAAAGGAGTTCACCCTCATGGTCCAACTTTTGGCCAAATAGTAGATAGGTATATAGGGGGAACAACACTAGTTAAGGTATACTTAAGTATGAATGATAGAATGATCAATCATTCAAACTCAAAGGGGCAAACGCGTGCCTAAGGACAAAGGTGAGAAGGAATGAGAAGGTGGGTGGAATCCAAACAGGAGCCTCAGGAAGGAAGCGGGATGACTTTTGTTAAATGGAGGGGACTGCAATAATTGAGATGAAGCAAAGTGCATGATTTGTTGAATGTAAAACCAATGATCTTGTCTGTACACCTTCACTCAATTTACAATAAAAAGTTTTAAAAAACAAAACAAGAAAAAGGAATGAACTGATATAATTCTGGCATGAACAAGTAGATCTTTCGCTTCATGCACATTTACCTACTGCTATCCAGTGGGTCTTTATCCTCATCAGAGCTCATCTCTATGGGAAACATGTCTTCATCTTCGGACGTGTTGGTGTTGTCATCTCTTTTGAGGCTGTCCAGTTGGGACTTTCTCCTCCTTTTTCTCCTCTTCTTTACTAAAGAGCCACCTGAAGTTGTCTCATTGGGAGGTGACACTTGGGGTGACACGCTGAGGTCTAGGCATCTTATTCGGTCAATAGAGTTCCTTTTCAGCTGGCTTTCCATCCGCAAGGCTCCTTCTGACAAGATAGGAGAGGTGGCCAAGTGCATGGGGATCACTTCCTAAAGAACAGAAAACATTCCCCCAAAAGAGTCATTTTAATTTAACTACCTTAATTTGGGTTTGAGCTCTGGTGCGACACTGTAGGATACACACTGGGCAGGTAACCACAAAGTCGACAGTTCAAACTCAAGTGTCACTCTCAGAAACCTTATGCAGAGTGGCTATGCGTCAGAAAAGACTTGACTGCACATATCAACAACAACAACAATTACTCCTTGAAGTCCCTGGGTAGCACAGTAGCACCCCAGTAGCACCACACAAACCCCCCAGTAAGCACCACAGAAGAAAAGCCTGATCATATGCTTCAGTCAAGACTGAAGCCAGCAAAACCTCATGGAGCACTTCTACCCTGCAACACATGTGGTCACCATAAGTCAGAATGAGCTCTATGACCATGGTGTGGTTTGGGTTTAAGCCTCCTTCAGGGATGGCCATAGTAGGAGAGAGTGATTAAATGTCACAGCCGCAATGATCTGGAGATGCCAATGCCAAGTCTGACAGGTCAAAAAGTCAGCAATTCATTAAATTCCATTTTGTAATGAAACCTGCATCTACATAATTAAGACAAAGTGAGGTAATTATCAGTGATACCAGATCACAAAATGTAGGTAAGGTCAGAGTAAAGAGAAAAAAAATGGGACTTGAGGCATCAGATCATTCTAGGTATTGTCCTAAATTGTATATATTTCAGTATAGATAGGGAGTGTGTATGTGTGAGAGAGAAAGTATATGTGTGCATATTTATCAATATGCATTGAACTAAGATATTAAAAAAAAACACAGCTGACAGCCTTTTTCCCCATGACTACCCTTTTCTAAGTACCTGCCTGGCCCAGGGACATTCAAGTATGAGACATCTGGGTAATTAGATTGTAATTAGATATTGAGCATCTTCATAAAAATGAAAGGAGAAAAAAAAACCCACAAAATGTCAAATTAATATCTTTTTAATAACGATTCAGCTCTTATTAAATTATTGTTGTTGTTAAGTGCTGTCAAGTCAATTCCAACTCATAGTGACCCTGTATAATGTTTCTAAGAAGTGACTGGTGAGCTTGAACTGCCAAATTTGCAGTTCAAAAGGCTTTGCAGTTTGGCACATTAACCCACAGCACCACACCAGGACTCCTTTTTCACTACAGTACTCATTTTATTAATGAATGACACATTTATTTTAAGAAGCTACAAATAAAATATATAAAAGTCAAGGAATTGTTGTATTGTTCCAACTACTGATGACTCCATGTGTGCAGAGTAGAACTGGCCCACAGAATTTTCAAGGCTGTCACCTGTCAGGAGTAGATAACCAAGCCTATCTTCTGAGGACAACCACCAACCTTTATGCTTACACTGAGCACTTCACCATTTGCACCACCCACAGACTCCTTAAACTGCTTTGAGTGCCATCAAATCAGTTCAAACTCAAAGTGACCCTGTACAGGGTTTCCAAGGAGCAAGTGACAGGTTTGAACCATTGAACTTATGGTTACAGTCCAGTGCTTATCCTACAGTGCCACATCAATACTGTTGTGTTAAGGCCTATTGAGTCAGTTCCTACTCAAAATGATCCTGTATAGGGTGTTTCCAAGGAGCAGCTGGTAAGTCTGAACCGCCAACCTTGAGGTCCAGTGCTTATCTTACAGTACCACACCAGGACTAGAACATCAAATATGCTAAAAACATAAAAATCGAAAAAGGATGCTGCTGTTAAATGTTATCAGGTCAGTTCTGACTGATCGCAACCCTGTTTTAGGGTTTCCAGGATTATAAATATTTATAGGAGCAGAAAGCCTCATCTTTCTCCCACAGGCTAATAGGCTCAAACCACAAACCTTGTGGTTCAGTGTTTATCCTATGGAAACACCACACTCCATGGAAGGGTTGTTAAAGGTCAACTAGACCAAATGAAGAGGAAGCACAGGCACTAGACTACATCAAGAGTAGGGGAAAAAGGTTCTTGCCTATCCTCAGCCTGAAAAGAATGGGTAGCAAGAGCCTGTGGAGAGAAGTAGACCTGCCAAAGGAAGAGCAGAGCCCACATCCTGCAACAAACTAGGGATGAAGGCAAAGACTCAGTAAATTCCAGGAGTCTTGGCTCCTCCCAGGAATAATAAAAGGCACAGGTATGGAACACAATGTGGTCTAGCCTACAGGTCTCCATCCCACCAAAAGGATCTCTGTAAAGCCAGCCAAGCAGGTCCACTGTTATCTTCTAAGCCCACAGCATCCTCTCCCAAAATACTTCCTTAGCTCTCAAATCCTAAAATCTGGCTAAGGCCAGGAGACAAATAGTAAAGTGTCCATTTGAAGTAAAAAGAGTTTCTATCAAAGTACAACAAGAGTCAACTAATAAGGATCCCAGCTTTCCACTTTGAAAGGGAAATAAAGAAGCAGAAGGGCAGGCATGCCTGATGGCTACAGGAAGTAGTCACAGAAGAAAGGGGCAGGCTTCCTTCTCAATGTTAACCCTTTACCAACAGTGGAGACACATACACTCACACTCACTGGGCAGATCAAATGGAAGCAATTCTGTTCTAAAACTGAAAACTATGCTCATTAGTTTTCAGGATTAGAGTTGTATAGGATCGTTTCTTTAGTCAGACTGTCTTCCCATAAGGGAATGAGCCCAGATGGAGTTCACTGAGTAATCAGTGCTTCAGACCCCTTTCAAAGTGGATTTCGAGGTGAATTAAAAGAATAATTTTAGTAGTTTGGTCATTCACCAAATAAAACCAGAACATCTAGTCATTTGGGATTTAACATATCAGTATAATGTGTTGACCTTGGACAATGGCGCAAGCCAAATAGCTATTTGCCTCCCTAGAGAGAGTGAGCAAGCCCAAGCAGGGATACATGAGACCAATGGCTTCAGGAAGGCCAGGGACTCTGAATCTTACGTAGGGAAGTCTCACCCCATCTGGCTCAAATCCCTAGTGTGGGTAAAGGGTTGCTTTTCATGCCGGCATCAACAATGCAGCCTGGCACCTGTATTCCTCCTCACACCTCACACATACTTCTGTCGTGTCACCTGGATGAAGAACTGCTCAGACCTCAAAACTAGGAAATAATCCTGCCCCAGCCTTCCTTACCTGGTCATTGTCAGTCTCCTGAACAAAAAATGCTTCGCCATTATCTCCCAATTTCATGTGCAAATCCACAGATTCCCCATTGATCTCTATGTCAACCTGGAGGAAAAACATAAATCATAGGGGAGGTATGGCCATGTCTCTACAAACACACAGGAATCCAATACAGCCCCCAAATAACTCACAATTCCAAATCCCAATCAGTGGAACTGCCCTCATGGAGACCCATCACTTCAGGGGTTTTACACACTGGAGAGCAAGCAGCTGACCACAAGGACCATGAACGGAACCACAGAGACCACCAGATTCAGCTCCGCCTTTTCTTGCTAAGGTGCTGGGGCCGAGACACGGCAAGTGACTGGCACAGGGTCAAATAGCCAGTTAGTGGTAGAGTGCAATCAAAATCTCCTTAGTCCCAGTCTTTAGAAAGTATACCCGGGAGTATTTTTTCTGTTGTCCACTGGGATCCTTGAAATGTTCTGAGCTAACAGTTTTCACTTGAAATGACTGCAATATATCATTTCAAATGTAATGCAAAATTTATTTTTTTAAAGTATTTTTTTCAATTTGTGTGTTAGGTTGTATTTCACAAAAATGGACACATCAGTATTTCTGGTCCTATATACTCTTCCAGAACCTTTCAACTACTCCCTCCCAATAAGTGCAGTCTGTTTTCCCTCCCAACTAATAGAATTCTATGTGGCTTATGAGGCTAGATATAAAAACGATACCGTTTCTGCCTGGCTCCTTTCTCTTGGGATGCTTGCCTGGAAACCAAGCCACCATGTGATGAGGAAGACCAAGTCACATGGAGCGGCCACCTGTAGGTGTTCTGACCAACAGCATCACTAAGATCCTAGCCAAGAGCTAGAATTAACCACCAGACATATGAGTGAATAAGGCTGCAGATGATTCCAGCCTCCAGCCATGGAATCTTCCCAGCAGAAGCCCCAGACAACATAGAGCCAAGACAAACCATTCCTGCTGTACCATCTGAATTCCTGACCCACAGAATATATGATCATAGATTTATTGTTTCAAACCACTAAATTTTGAAGTAATTTACACAGTTATAGTAACTAGAACAATGTGAATACTTGTCAATTTCGTGAACAGTCCTTTCCAATGGAGAACTAAAAATCTGGATCTGAGACTAAAAAATTAAAAATACAATGATGTTCTCTACAGAGAGAGCCAGGCCATCAAGCTACTGGATCCTCTACTCTTACCACTTTCTCTCGGGAGCGCAGCACCCCCATCTTCCCAAAGCGGACGTGGAAAGGAGAGCACTGAAGGTTTCCATTGGGTTGTCGAACAACAATGATATCGATGCACCCAGACAGCGTGGCAGGATTCAGGCCCTTGTAGAGTTCCTTCACCGTAACAAAAACCTGGCCCGCCAACTGTCCAACGTAATTCATGGTTTGAGCCTAGGCAACAGACAAAAGCAAATAAAACATATATATACACACACACACACAAATAATTCATTCTGGGAAGGTCACTGAGATCCAACAGAAAAAATTAATTCCTCCCCACTTCAAAAATGTATCAATATATAAAAATTGCACTTTCTATTTTTAAACCTTGCTTATATAATTTTGTTTCCCTAGAATGTGTTCTACAATACTCACCCCCAGCACCTCCCTCCCCAAACACAAGTTCACCAAATACCCACTCCCTCTCATGATGCTTACATATAGTTATCACTAAACTAACTGTCCTGACGACCAACCTCGTTCTGCCATTATTGCCATGTTTTACAGAACTGAATCCTAACAACCTTGAGAAGAGACTGCATTTTATACATCTTTGTGCAAAACAGAATAATCATTTAATAATATCAACTGAAAAAAATGACTTTTTTTCAATTGAGTAGGAGGTAAAAAATGTTTTATCTATTTCTACTCCTGCCCTTGTTCGATTTCTCTCCCACCACTCTGGAGGATTGCTGAGCTCTGTTTCTGTCTTTGTGGCCAGCTAATTCAATCAACAAACATCCAGGGCATCTGTTCTACAAAGGACTTAGTAGAGGGGACACAGAGATAAAAGAGGCACAGTCCCTATCATCTTCAGGGACTTCAAGCTGGTAAAAGAGATAGAACAAACACAAGTAACTAAAATATAGGTCAGTATTCTACTCTAACGCAAATGGGGTCACCATAAGTCAGTGTCAGCTTGACAACAACTGGTTTTTTTGTGTTTACTATTTGTTTGCAGTATTTAATTTTCTTGTATTCAATAAATGCTGAAGATGTTGCAACCAAAGAACGAGAAGATGGGTAATTAAGAGGGCTTGGAGAAGGAATAGTCTTTTAAGGTAAAGAAGGTTATATTTAAAAAAAAAAGAGAGTGAGACAGACATACAGAGAGCAATCGAACTGAGGAAAAGGTATGTGCAAAGGTGCAGTGGCCTGAAAACTCCAGACACAAAGAGGGAACTATGCCAAGAACACAGAACATGCAGAAGGGAAGAGCTGAATAAACCTATGTTAGGAAATTTGGACAGCACTACCCAGCAATGCCACCACTCATGTCTGTTTGTTGTATTGTGGTGGCTTGTGAGTTGCTGTGAATCTGGAAGCTACGCCATGGGTACTTTAAATACCAGCAGGATCACTCGCGGTGGACAGGTTTCAGATGAGCTTCCAAATGAAGACCGATTAGGAAAAAGGAGAGATGAA